ATTAAGGTTCATGAGCAGTTGAATTTGAAATGAAGAAATTATCTCGGATTATCTAGGTGGGGCCAACATAATTACAAGGGTTCTTATAGGTGGAAGAAGGAAACAGGAGAGTCAGAGTCAGAGAAAGACATGACAGTGGGAGCAGAGTGGCTCTGAAGATAGAAGAGGCTCATGAGCCAAGGAATGCTCACTGGAAAAAAAAAAAAAAAAAGGATTCTTGCCTAGAGCTTCAAAAAGGAGCATAACTCTACCAATACCTTGAATTTAGCCCATTGAGACCTGCCACATACTTCTGACATCCAGACCACAGGTAATAAACTTGTGTTTTAAGCCACTAAGTTTGTGATAATTTGTTACAGCAGCCACAGGAAATGAACAGACCATATTTTTAAAAGAAAAAAGAAAAAACATATAATCATCTCAATAAATGCGAAAAAATTATTTTTATAAAGTGCAGTGTCCACTCCTGATAAAATATCTCAGCAAAGTAGGAGTAGATGCAAACTTCCTCCACTTGATAAAGGGTATCTATGAAACACCTATGGCTAACTCATATCGTACTTAATGGTGAAAGACTGGATGTTTTCCCTCTAAGATCAGGAGCAAGAGAAGGATGTCTGCTCTTAACCACTTTCACTCAGTGTTGCATGGAAGGTTCTAATCGATGCAGTCAGGCAAGAAAAAGAAACTAAAGGCATCCAGATTAGAAAAGAAGACACAAAACTGTATTTGATTTATAGAAGATAATATGGTCTTTTATATAGAAAATTCTATTAAACGTACAAAAAAGCTGCTAGAACTAACAAATGAGCAAAGTTTCAGGATACAAAATCAATATACAAAACTCAATTGCATGTCTACATACTAGGAATGAACAATTGGAAATTGACATGAATTATACTACTATTTACAATAGCACCAAAAAAGTATGAAATATGTAGGGATACCCCTGACAAAAGATGTGAAAGATCCATACACTGAAAACTATAAAATATTTCTGGAAGAAATTAAAGTTCTAAATGAATGGCAAGATATACTGTTTTCATGGAGTAGAAGATGTCATTTGTTAAGATATCAATTCTCCCCAAATTTATCTATAGATTCAATGCAATTCCTACCAAAATCTCAGCAAGTTTTTTTTTGGTAGAAATTGACAAGCTAATTCTAAAATTCATATGGAAATGCAGAGAACCTAGTATAATCGAAACGATTTTGAAAAAGTAACAAAGTTGGAGAATTTACACTATCTGATTTAAGATTGCTATAAAGCTACAATAATTAAGATAGTGTTATTGTCACAAAGATAAAGAAATAGACCAATGAAACAGAATAGAGAGTCCATAAATAGGCCTACATGTATATGGACAATTTTTTCAACAAAGATACAAGAGCAATTCAATGGAGAAAAGAATCTTTTCAATAAGCGGTTCTGGAACAATGAGATATCCATATGCAAAAAAAATTTGCGCTTCATACTTTGCACTATATGCAAAAATCAACTCATATAATAGATGAAATTATAAAACTTAAAACTATAACATTTTTAGAACACAGGTGAGAAAACTTTTCTGACCTTGGGTTAACCCTTAGTTTCTTTGATGTGACACTAAAACATGATCCATAAAAGGACAATTGATTGGATTTCATCAAATTCACACCGAACACACACCTCTTCAAAGAGGATACATAGATGACAAATAAACAGCTGAAAAGATATTGTATGTCATTAGGGAATTTCAAATTAAAGCAATAATGAGATACCACTACACACCTATTAGAATGGCTAAAATTCTAAACCCTGACATCACCAGATGATGACAAAGATGTGGAGCAACAGGAACTCTCATTCATTGGAGGGAATCCAAAATAGTATAGCCACCTTGGAAGACAATTTGGTAGTTTCTTAGAAAACTAAACTTAGTCTTAACCATATGATTCAGCAATCACACTCCTTGGTATTTACCCTAAGGCATTGAAAACTTATGTCCACACAAAAACCTGTAGTTTATAGCAGCTTTATTCGTAATTGCCCAAACATGAAAGTGACCAAGATGTCCTTCAGTAGGTGAATGGATAAACAAACTGTGGTACATCCATACAATGGAATATTGTTCAGTGATAAAAAGAAATGAACTGTAAAACCATGAAAAGAAACAGAGGGAACTTAAGTGCATATTGCTAACTGAAAGAAGTCAATCTGAAAAGACTATGCACTGTATGACGTTCTGAAAGAAGCAAAACTGTGGAGACAGTAAAAAGATCAGTGGCTGCCAGGGGTTTGGGGTTAGGGAAGGAAGGATGAATCAGTGGAGAATAGGGGATTTTTTAAGGCAGTGAAACTATTCTGTATAATACTGTAATGGTGAATATATGACATTATGCGTTTCTCAAGACCCATAGAACACACAACCTAAAGAGTGAATCCTAATGTAGGTCATGGACTCTAGTTAATAAAAATGTATCAATTGGTTCATCAATTATAACAAACATCCCACACTAATGCAACATGTTGATAACAGGGGAAATGGAGGAAGGAGAGGAGAGGCGGTATATGAGAACTCTGTCCTTTTTGTTCATTTTTTTATAAACCTAAAACTGCCCCCCCCAAAAAAACCTAGTAACTGTGTTTTAAAAAAATGCTATAGACTGCAAGAAAATTTTTTCAAATCATGTATCTGATAAAGGGTTTATGTCCAGAATACACAAAGAACTCTCAAAACTCAATAATAAAACAAACCAAATTAAAAATATATATATGAGCAAGAGATTTGAACAGATGCTCCACCAAAGAGATATATGGATGGCAAAAAAAGGGTACATTTTGTTTAACATCATTAGTCATTAGGGAAATGCAAGTTAAAACTATGATGAGATACCACTTCACACCCACTAGGATTACTATAGTAAAAAAGATGGACAGTGACAAGTGTTGGCTAGGATGTGGAGAAATTTAGAACCCTTATACATTGCTGGTGAGAATGTAAAATGGTACAGTCACTTTGGAAAACAGTTCAGCAGTTTCTTCAAAAGTTAAATTTACACCTACTATATGATCCAGCCAAATTGTGGTATATCCATGTAATGGAATACTACTCTGCAGTAAAAAGGAATGAACTATGGTACATGCTACAGCATGGATTAATCTCAAAATACTTTGAACAAGACCAGACAATAACAAGTACAAACTGCGAGACTAGATCAAATTCTAGGAAATGCAAAATAATGTATAGTAACAGGAAGAAGAGATTACAAACTGTCAAGAGGAAACTTTTGGGGGTGTTAGATATGTTCACTATCTTAATGGTGGTTTGGTTTCATAGGTTTACACACGAGTCAAAACTTTAGGAAATTGTTCTCTTTAAATATGTACAGTTTATTGTGTGTGAATCATATCTCATTAAAACTGTTAAAAAAGAATAAAGGTAGCTATAAAAGATTACATGCAAGTTATTAATTTTGCAAATGCTTCTCTTCCAGTCATGAAATTAGAATATATACCATCATTTAAAAAATAATAATGATAAATGTATTTTAATGAAGAAAGAATTTAAGTTATGTGATAAAAGTCTCAGAATGACAATTTAAAGACAAAATTTTCATAAAAACCTGATATATAAAATATATTTATATTTAAGCATAAGTCTCTTAAAATTTATCTTAAAATTCACTTGACAAAATATTTTCATCTAAGAAATTAACTTTTAGATCTTCAGCAAAATGCAAATATTATGGAAGATTTGAAAAGGAAGTTTGTAATAGTCAACAATGCAAACTTCAACATATTTTAATGATGTGACAGATTGGATCACTTAGAAACAGGGCAGTTCCGTGGGCTATAGGAAGATACAGTCTGTGCTTTGGAAACGGTGTTATCAGAATATGAACCTATAACTTAAAGTTTAAATTAATAAATTAATTTATAATTTTTATATATACATATTTATATATGACATATATTATTATATATTATGTATTTATAATTCATATTTAAATATTTAAATTAAAATATTTAAATTATATATTTATATATAATATATATTTATAAATATATAATTTATATAAATTTAATTATAAATAATTTATAAATTTATAAATTATAAAATAATTTCATGAGAAAACAGACAAAAAAGTCTAAGTGACTTTATTATACTCTCAAATTACTTTGAAAGTGAAATCTATATTTTCATAGCCCATGAAACTGAAAAGCTGAAATTAATCAGGCCTGGACGTTATTCCTGACTTTGTAGAATGAGATCCCTCTCATCAGGGTGCGGGTAAATTGCTTCTACAGTTAGGCGAGACTCTGGCCTTACTTGACCTTCTGGTTCTGTCACTTCTTGCCACGGTTAAGGAGTCCCCAATGACCCTGGTGGCTCCCCTCTGTATGTGCACCTCCCTGCTGGCTGCAGGCACATCTTGCATGACATGTTGGGAGCTGTAACCCCATTGGGTGAAAAATGAGCCAACTCCACCACACACATTCTAACTTGAAGTGGGGACTGTGTGTGTTGATTAATTTTTATAATTGATTTGGCAATTATGCAATTAATTATGCCAATACCTGACTGGCATCATGCTAGGCACTGAGGATATAAGAGTAGAACAGAAAGCTTATCTGGTCTCATGGAAAGTTCAGTTATAGTGGATTAGGCAGCAATGCATGGAGGTCGTTGAGAAGTGTGAAGAAAATAGAGCAGGATAAAGAGAGAAAGACTTGGGCGTAGCAACATTGGACAGATAGGTCAGAGACTCCTCTGAGGAGGTGCCGAGTGAGCTCAGAACTGAATGACGGAGAGGAAGCCAGCTTTGCACACATCAGGGGAAGGAGAGCAGGAGTGTCCCGGGTGCGCAGTGTCTAAAGTTTATTCTGAGAGACATATGTGAGGAGGCAAAGAGGAAAGCGGAAGGCAGATAGCAAATAAGACATTGGAATAACACAAAGAAGAGTTTTCATGAGGTTGATAATATCCATGATGATTTTATTTTACCTGTGATGTCAGGTGAGGAAAATAAAGCAACCCTCCTTGAACTTGGAGCTGTGGAACCTTTAACTAAACTGCTCACGCATGAAGACAAAATAGTAAGAAGAAATGCTACGATGATATTTGGGATCCTGGCTTCTAACAGTAAGTATGAACTTTTAAAAATAATCAAATAATCTCAGGTAATGCATTATCCTTCTTTTATATTTAATGTGAAGGGATTCATTTTAATTTTATTTAAACTGACTTTAATGTTAATGAAAAAGTTAAATAAGTATATTGCAACAAATGTATGATTTCTTCTTTTAAGGGATATTTTTTAAATATAAAAATATAGACATGCAAAAAACTCTCCAAGTTGGTGAGGTAGTATGTTCTAGTCTTAAAAGTTGGGAGAACAATCATTGTCTGTTAAAATTAAAATAGGTTTTTCTTGAGTTAGTATAATGTAATTTATCTGTCTATTTGTTAGTTACCCTTCATACATATTATAGTGAAAAAAGCCCAGGGTAAAGAGTTTTGATATATTTATTTTTTTGAAACTGCAAACTATATTTTGCCAAAAGTAAGTTTAGACATATATTTACACCTTAAGTCAGACCTATTACTTGCTTGAATATTTTCATACATTTAATATGGTGAAACAATAGTTAAAATATGCTGTTTTGTCTATTAGAATATCAGACAAAGACAAGTGACCAAGAAGAGAAACTGTAAAACTAAGGTAGCAGCTGTGACTTATTTCTGAGAAAAAGGGGGTTAAGGACGGCAGGAAAGAAGCAGAGGCATGCCTGTCTAGCCTTAATTAGGCTCATAAAAGCAACACAAAAGTGAACATAAAAAGATCAATATACTTATCTTTAATCATTTTTGGCATTTCTGATAATTAAATGGAATGGAAACAAGAAGTATTAATCCAAAAAGGCTGAGGATAATTCTTATTTACATTCTGTACAGGCTTTATTAAAATCAAAATTTAAAAACACCCTACCAATGAAACAAAAAAAGAATTACTACTGTAGGGGAGCAAAAATTTCTCCTCTACCCTTCTCAGTTCTTCTGGCTAAGAATTAAATAGACATGAGACAGACTAGTAGGAGAAAATCAAATTTAATTTCATATGTACGGGGGCTCCATGAGACTATGAGGCCCACTGACAGTCAGGCAGTTGAAGCTTATATGCCACCAAGAGCTAAGGAGAAAAGGGGTAGGGGTCTGGGACTTCAAACGGGAGGAAAGCAGTTTACAAGATGAGGAAAGCCAATGTTTGGTAAACAAATGTTTGCCATGCTATGCAGAGAAAATGAGCCAGAGAGGACTTTGATCAAACAGGCCATGTTGTTTCCCCCGGTCTACCATACCTAACCCATCTTCTTTGTAGATATCCCTGGTCATACACCTTCTTCTTGGAACAGGTCCTTTATCTAAATTCTTTTAGGCAGTTAAGGGGGAGATAAAAGCTGTTCCCGAGTCTTTTGTTTCTTAAAAATAATCAGCCTAAAATAATCTTCCTGCCAGAGAGACACATTTTGGGATAGCAAAGTTAGCTCCCCAACACTACTGTATAATAAAAAAAAATGTAGGGCACAGTAACTCAGCTTTCCCGATAGGTGTTCTAGGCACATTTTGCACTTTTCTGAGCCAGACAGACCTGTGCATGAAAACTGGCCCCACCACTAACTCGCTGTGTGATTCTGAGCTTCAATCTCCTTATCTGTGAAATTAGATAATAATAGAACCTATTTCATAAGGGACTACTCAACAGACATTACTATTATTGTTAATAAACATTAATATTCTGTTTCTTCTTTTGTAGACGATGTTAAAAAATTGTTAAGGGAGTTAGATGTCATGCATTCTGTCATTGCTCAGCTTGCTCCAGAAGGTAATTTTGCATCCTACATCTATTTCAAAAAATGGGACTGGTTTATTTTTCACATTTGATTAAACTACTTATTGAAAATAGTTTATGAAATACCAATTGTGAATTGTCACTAAAATCTCTCAAACTAAGATGAGCTCCAACCAAGGTGAAATTCACAGAGCTTTGGTTTTCAAAGCATGTTTTAAAAGAATGGTTAAATAAACATTTAGCATACTTGTGTTATTTGTTTTTGACATGCAGAAGAAGTAGTTATCCATGAGTTTGCTAGTCTTTGCCTAGCAAACATGTCTGCAGAGTATACCAGCAAAGTGCAAATATTTGAACATGGTGGATTAGAGCCGCTCATCAGACTGCTGAGCAGCCCAGACCCTGACGTGAAGAAGAATTCTATTGAGTGCATTTACAACTTGGTCCAGGTAAGAGGAATTCCTAAAAATGTGTTTTGACAAAAACTGATTATAGAATTTATTTCCCTGTTAAAAAAAGGAAAAAGCTTTTGGGCCAGCCAGGTGGTGCAGCGGTTAAGTTCGCACATTCTGCTTTGGCGGCCCCAGGGTTTGCCAGTTCGGATCCTGAGTATAGACCTATGCATCACTAGCCAAGCCATGCTGTGGCAGGCGTCCCACATATAAAGTAGAGGAAGATGGGCATGGATGTTAGCTCAGGGCCAGTCTTCCTCAGCAAAAAAGAGGAGGATTGGCAGCAGATGTTAGCTCAGGGCTAATCTTCCTCAAAAGAAAAAAAAAGGAAAAAACTTTTAAAAACTCACCAGTTTTGATTAACCAGTATTTCTCAGTACTACTTGGTAGTTACTATTCAGGGAAAAAATAGTAGAAGTTCAGTGGGGATAACTTTCAGTTTTATAAGTAATTCACATTTTATAAGTAATTATAAAATTCACACTTTATAAGTAATTGTCTCCCATGAAAGGGCATTTTAGAAGCCTACTTAAATGTTAAAGAATAGAATAGCTTGCAAATTAAGGTGGGATTATACCAGATAAAACGTATTTCTTCTGATAGAGGAAACCTAATACTCATGTTGAACTAGGTTTGACCTGGGCCGTTTGCTATTGATCTAACCTTGGTGATCTACGCCCACTGGATGTAATATATGCTGTTTTCAGTGTACCAAGATTTTGGATTAGACTTATTTATTGTTGAAAGCCTAGTGAGTTAAGTATGCTGAACAGAACTCATGGTTCACAGTTGCAAGATGCTTTCTCTCTGTGCTGTTTTCCTTTGCAGTGGAAAGAAACAGCCTACCTCCCCCTCCCAGCTTGTTCTGCCCGCTTCCCCGTGCCCCAGCCCAGTGCGCACACCCTCACCCCCACAGCGGGTCGGCTCCCTGACACTTTGCACAACCTTCTCTCCTCCTTTACCTGCTCAGGGTCCCGAACAACTCCCACACACATTTGATAAGCTTTAGATCAACAGAAAATACAAAAACACCTTTTTAAACAGTCAGGAGTAGAGTGTAAAAGAAAGACATAGCAAAGCAAAGGTGAGGGAGGGTTTACTGAGAGGCAAAGTATCTAGACAAATTATATAGAAAAAAAGAGACAAATGGGCTCATGCCAAAAGGCAGCAGAAGCATACATTCCCGGCCTTGGATGTAACGCCTGGTGGCTGGGCGCTCACTGGTGTTACCCTCACTCCTTCCTAAAAGAGACGTCCTCAAGAGGAAGTCCAGCTGCTTCCCTTCTCTGGTTACTTCACCTCACCGGAGGCCTGAATAGTCCTATAAATGTTTGTGTTTTTCATTCCAAGACTCCTCAAAGCTCTATTTTCTTATATTTTTTATCAAATGGAAATGAAAAGACTTAACCTTCGCTCTTTTTCATCAACAGAAGTCCTAGTTGATAACAGTGTATTGATTTCCTAGGACTGCTGTAACAAAGTACCCCAAAGTGGGTGGCTTAAAACAATGGGTATTTATTCCTGCACGGTTCTGGAGGCTGGAAGACGAAATCAAGATGTCGGTGGGGCCATGCTCCCTCTTCGACTCTGGGTAGAACCCTTCCTTGACTCTCCTGAGCTTCTGGTGGTGGCTGTTGATCCCTGACATTGTTTGGTTTTCAGCTCCATTCCTGTCGTCTCTCCCTCTGTCTCTTCTTACAAAGACACCAGTCTTACAAGGACACCATTCAATACCCACCCTATTCCACTGTGATCCCAGCTTAACGAGTTACACCTGCAATGACCCTGTTCCCAAATAAGATCATGTTTTGAGATACTGAGGATTAGGACTTCAACATATATTTGGTGGTTGGGTGGGGGAGAGGGACACAATTCAACCCTTAGACCAACAGCAACACTGTTTTTTTATGTCTGAAGGAAGCTGGATTTTAGAGGTCAGTTGAAGGATGGATAGAGGAAAGCTAAGCTCTAAGTGGGGCCTTTTCCACCTTTAATACTATTTTATATTTACCATGTTTTGATTTAAAATGTCATGATTTGGCAGAGTTTGGAGACTTTTCATGGTTTTTTGACTTGTTTTTTCCATTGTTCACCCCAACCAACCCCTCCCCCCCAACACATAGAATTACAGACACACAAAGCAGAGCAACTCGCCTAGACTCTAATGACCCCTTGATATTGTCAATGTCTTAAATAAAGGTCATGTGTCTGAACTAAACCTGATGTAAGCTTGCATGCACGGGGCCTGCCGACAGCACTGCGTGCATATAAGCATTTCATAAGCAATCCATCTGAATGAAGATAATAAGGAATTGATGCCATCATTTCATTTTATCAAATACTGTTTGAAACAGGATATAGAGTGTGAAAAGAATTTTATTATGCATCGATTTTATTGTAATGTTGTTTATGGTAATAGGAGTTTCTTGTATAATAAAGCAACACTAGGTACTGCAGAAGTCACAGATGATGTCTATTTCCTGTTATTGACAATGTCTGCATGGTTAAAAAGAATATTTTGGTGGTGTTAATTTTCAAGTTTGCTTATTTTTGTTTGTGAGTTATTTTGGAAGGGAATCTGGAATAAAAGATGGGAACATTATAACTTTCTCTGTTAGAAAATAGAATTTCTCCCTTCTTGACACTGTATTTTGCTTTAAAAATTGCTTATTTGATCATTTGTATCTCATGGCAGGATTTTCAATGTCGAGCTACACTTCACGAACTAAATGCAATCCCTCCTATATTAGATCTCTTGAAGTCAGAATATCCAATTATTCAGTTGTTGGCGCTCAAAACCTTAGGTGTTGTTACGTATGACAAGGAGTCACGAACAATGCTGAGAGAGAATCAAGGCGTGGACCAGCTTATTAAGATCCTAGAAACTAAGGTATTTCTAATTTTCATTCAACTCTCTGTGAGGAAATGTATCTTTCCTAACTGTTCTTATAAAATACAAATTGTAGAGTATTTTTTTAAAATGAAGTTTTATTAAAGTATGAGAGTAAGTATGATGGATTAATTTGCTTATTGCTCCATACTTTATTGGCATGATTAAATCAGACTAATGATAAAGGCCATTATAAAATAATTTTTTAAACCTTCTGGTTACAAGATTTAAGATTTTTTAATTCTTGTTTATGATCTTCTTCAAGACTTCCTGAAATGCCTAGAATTAGTCTTTTAACCTTTGTCTGCCATAGGTTTCTCTGAGGTAAAGTAAGGAGAGTAATTTACTTCACACTGTGAAGGGTAATCTGTTTTACTCAGTCTACTGATTTAAGTATTAATTTCATCTAAAAAATACCTTCACAGAAACATCTAGAATAGTGTTTGACCAAATATCTTGAGACCATGACCTCGCTAAGTTAAAACATAACAATTAAGCATCATAGGTCCATCCCTTGTCAATTTGGCACCATATGTATCTCCTTAAATCATATTTAATCTCCAAAGAAAGACAATAGCAGGGTCCTATTTCCACCTAACATGATATAACTGTCCTGTGTACCCCCACAAACGCACTGACCCTTTGCCCAGAAGAGGATGCAAAGTCCTTGGATGGTGTTTACTTTTCTCCTTGACATCCCGTAACTGGAATACTATTTTGTAAAGTCAGTACAGCTTATGTTACCTAAGGGGATAAGAGAGGGAAGAAAATAAAGATATTTCATACACACACACACACACACACATTCTTAACAAAATAAGAAAGAAATACTCATGACAATTACAGTCCTTTTTTCTATAACTAGTCACATGGCTGTAGTAGGTATTTATAACTACCTTCTTCCAATACCCATTCCATGTTCTCTTTGCCCTCAGCAAGTACCTCAGCTGGTCTTGGTTCTTTGCCTGGTGGGGTGACCCAAACCTTCATTCCTGAAGAGTCTGGGCCGTGAGTAGTCCTGCCTGGGTTGGGTTGCTGTAGTTGTTCATCGACCTTAATCACACATGGTAGTACTGCATGGTAGTACTGAGATGCCCTACAGGGCCTCCTGTCTTCCAGACGTGCTTTTCCTTACCTCTACTGTAGAGTGGCTTCCATTTTCCCCTTGGTAGTGGGGATCATTCACCTCAGTCAGCACAATAACTGTCTTCTTTGCCTGTTGATTCAGAGGCGTGAAGAGCCCAAAGAGGCTGGGCAGCAGCCTTAACTTTTAGTTCAATGGAATCATTGTTGTGTCTCCTGGTGGACACGTTCCTCCCTTTGGAACTAAGACCTTTAGGCCAGCAGAGAATAAGGTCGTGGAGACAGGAAGCAAAAACTTTGCTAGTGGGTCACCAGAGGTAATAATGAGTGATGCCACTCCCATTTCCACCCCTTGATCCCTGGACCCATGAACCCTGGCTATGGGAGAAACAACACCATATATTAGACACTGATTCAGGGCGTATACAGCCTCCTGGGGAACCTTGCTTGGGCCCTGCAAGTGTTGCCACCTAGCCGGGCTTGTAAAGCAGTCTTAAGAAGACCATTGTATCACGCCAGCTGCTGCGGGACGGTGGGGAACATGGCAAGGCCAGTGAGTTCCGCGAGCTTGGGCCCGTTGCTGCACTTCTTTCGCTGCGACGCGTGTTCCTTGATCGGAAGCAATGCTGTGTGGAACACCATGATGGGGGCGCGTCCTTTCTGTTTCTCTCACTTTAAGGATTCCCACCTTAAATTTTTCACTGTTCAGATAAGGCTGCAGTCTTCCACTGCTCCAGGATTGGGATTCGGGAGATTCCTCAGGCAAGAAAGCGACACACTCACAAAGCTTCCCTCTACCAGTTGGAGATTTTAAGGAATACACTTTCCTTCAGCTTCTGTCTGATTTTTCAAAAAATATTTTCCTCAAATTTTAAAATTGTTGGTGGTAGAAAGTTGTGTGAGCAGCTTTACTTGGATACCATTATTTTTTGTACATAAAACGCTTTGGAGCAGGGGAAATGAGAAAAGATGGGGCAAGTGAGAAGGCAGAGTGATGTTATGTGAATAAACAGAACTGTTTGCTTGAGCCTCTGTCACAACATAATTAATTACATTATGTTCGGACTGACCTTAGTCTGTCTTGTAAAATGTGGAAAGTATACATTTCTTTTAGGAGAACTTTCTAGAGCTGTATTTGCTTTTATTATTAGGAATGGAATGACCTTCACGTAGAAGCACTTTCAGTGGTAGCCAATTGCCTTGAAGATATGGATACCATGGTGCTGATTCAGCAGACAGGGGGCCTTAAGAAGCTCCTGTCATTTGCAGAAAACTCTACAATTCCTGACATTCAGAAGAATGCAGCTAAAGCCATCAGTAAAGCGGCTTCTGATTGTATGTCACGTTTTATACAAACTAAGCGTACATATTTCCTCTTGTATTCTTAATTTTGATTAGTGCTAACAAACACTAGGGTGTTGATCTGCTTTTAAACGACCATTTGAGAACAGTGCTATACCTACTATTTAAGGCCAAAATTCATCTCAGTGCCAATGAGTTAAAGGAGAGATTACTTTGTCCAGGATGTAATAAACTCAGTGTGCTTAGACCTCCAGCTTTTGTAAACAGTTCACTCCCAAATTAAGTTTGAAGCCTTTATTTCTCCTGATTTTGGAATTATATAGAATGTATGCAGTGTTTGTGATCCTGGAAACGTTGTTTCAATAAATCCACATTTGGAGTGAAATCTATATAGTAATTTCAAGTTTCAGCTGGAGTCCAGCAGTGCCCTGTTATATAGCTGTGAAAAATAATATGTTCCTCCCATCTCCATAATACAATTTTCATTTCAGTGGCAAGCTATGTTGATATAAATCTGTAAAACATGAGAGATTAATTACATCACAAGCACCGAAGATGAAATTATAGTTTTAATTTATGTATATTGGGAGTATTTTATTTAATAAAAGATGTGATTTTATTTTCCCCCTTCTACATCACTTCTCTTATAAATGATGACATCTTTGACTAGTGAAAGTGATTTATATTCTAAACATATATACTCACATCTGTATATATGTCTGTGTGTATATTATGGGAAACATTTCCTTTTCAACCCATACTGGATTTCTTCAAGGCCAAGTTTTAATGCAGTCAGCCGAATTCCACTCTAGGACATGGTTAATATAGACGGGCTTTGTGAGTTACGTTATGAATACCCAATCTAAAGACAGGCTGTAAAATTAAGGTTTTTAATATTGGCAAAAGTTGGTTGAGTCAGTATTCTGTCCAGTGGAACTGAGACCTTATCATACCTGGTCAGTTCAGTTTTCTGTCTATCCCAGGCCGCCTTAGCTATTTGAGGCCCAAAGAGAGGGCCGTGGGAAGACAGGGACAATGTCAAACCTAAAATTTTTGCAGATCTCCACTTCTCTTTGGTTTAGTGTGGCTGGGCCATTCGAAGATTGTTCCAGGCCCTCGTGGGATGGTGAGTTTCATGAGTCGTTTAGCCATCATGTGACACAGTCATGGAAAGGACACTGGATAGAGAGCTCCTGGTGTTCTCGTTCTACTAGCGGTTCCGCTGCTGGCACTGCGGTGGCCTGGGGATGTGACTATGAGTGCACTACAGCCTCTCCAGACCTATTTATTAATGACTTATTGAGTCCTCACTTTGTGTTAGTAAACCCAGAGCTGCCAAGTAAATAGGCAATCACAAGGCGGTGTTAAAGGTGCTTGATGATGGGAGAACCGGATCCCCCAGGAGGGCCTCCTAATGCAGACTTAGGTGAGACAAGTCTTCCTGAAATAGGTGATTGACAAGCTAGGACCTGGGGTAAATAATAGAAACCGGCTGGGCAAGGGAGGTCCTGGTGGGAGGGGAGCCAGCAGTCCTCTAAGGAGAAGGAACAGTGTGTGTAAACGCCAGAGAGGGACAGAGCGTGGTAAACTCCAGAACTGAAAGTTTTCAGAATGGCTAGTGAATAGAAGGTAGCAGAAAACTGAGAGTTAAGGCTGTGGAAGTAATGAGGAGCCAAATGCTAATGGGCATTGCAAGCCAAATTAAGGACTGTGGACTTGATTTTCATGGCAACAAAGAACCATTGAAGTGACTTAGAGAGGAGAAGGAACATTCTGGATTTTCACTTTTTAAAGAAAGAGCACTCTTGCTGCAAAGACGTGTGCAAAGACAGGGAGAGACCAGGACAGGGATCGCTGCAGTGGGTGGTCTTGGTGGGGGGTGACAGGGTTCTGACACAGACACGGTGATTGAGATGGCTGAGAGGCATTTGCAGAAGAACCACCAACACACTGCCTGGCACAATGGGGGTCCATAGTGTTTACTGAATGACCAGTGGGTTGGGGAGGAAGGAGGTGATGTCAAGGACAAGGACTCTTTTCATCTTGCAAAACAGATACTCTGTACCCATTAAACAATGACTCCCACTTTCCCCTCCCTGCAGACCCTGGCATCACCATTCTTTCTGTCTCTATGATTTTGACTACTCTAAGTTCTCATATATGTGGGATTATACAACATTTGTTCTTTTGTCACTGACATTTCACTTGATGTCCTCAAGGTTTATCCATGTTGTAGCATGTGTCAGAATTTTCTTCCTTTTCAAGGCTGAGTAATATTCCACTGTATGTATATACCACATTTTGTTGATCCATTCATCCATTAGACACCTGGGCTGCTTCCACCTTCTGGCTATGGTGAACAATGCTGCTATGAACATGGATGTACAAATTTCCCTTCCAGTCTCTGCTTTCACTTCTTTGAGGTATCTACCCAGAAGTGGAACTGCTGGATACTACAGTAATTCTATGTTTAATATTTTGAGGAATGGTCATACTATTTTCCATAGTAGCTACACCATTTTATATGCCCATCAGTCAGGCGCAAGGGTTCTGACTTCTCCATTTTCTCACCAACACTTGTTATTTTCCGATAGTAGCCATCCTAATTGGTGTGAAGTGGTATCTCATTGTGTTTTGATTTGCATTTCCCTAATGATTAGTGATATTGAGCATCTTTTTCATGTGCTTATTGGCCAATTCTATATTTTCTTTGGAGAAATGTCTATTCAAATCCTTTGCCCATTTTTTAACCAGATTGTTTATTTTTTCTTGTTGAGTTGTAGGAGTTCTTTATATATTCTGGATATTAACTCCTTATCAGATACATGATTAATAAATGTTTTCTCCCATTCTGCGGGTTGCCTTTCCATTCTATTGATTGTGTCCTTTGATGCACAGAAGTTTTTCATTTTGCTGTGGTCCAATTTATCTATTTTTTCTTTTGTTGCCTGGGCTTTGCTGTCATATCCAAGAAATCATTAACAAATCCAAAGTCATGACATTTTCTGCTACGTTTTCTTGCAAGAGTTTTATAGTTTTAGCTCTTGTGTTTAGGTCTTTGATCCATTTTGAGTTGTTTTTGTGTCTTTGGTGTAAGGTAGGGATCCAGCGTCATTCTTTTGCATGTGGATATCCAATTTGCTCAGCACCTCTTGTTGAAATCTGTTCTTTATTTGTAAGATGAAGAAATTCAACCAGATAGTCTTTAAGTCCCATCTGGCTTAATGTTTTATGAATCTACCTCCTTATGTTAGTTCTAAAATGACTACCTTCCAGTTCCAAATCGTGTCTTCTCACTCTTTCTTATAGAATCTAATGACTAAATTTGTACGTATTTGGTCTACATCATTTGTAATTTTTTTCACGTTCCCTTCAACCATCACTTTTCCTGACAGAATCCTTATCTTATTTAGTCTCTCTTCATACATCATGTCCTCAGGCCAAACTGTAATCATTCTCTTAGCTTTTCTGGACTTTCTCTTGTTCATGATACCCTCCTTGCAGTGCAGTATGAACAGCATTTCGAAAACATGCACCATCACTTTATATAATATAAAGATGGCTTATTTATGAATATTTTCAATTTCAGTCTTAGGAATCTAGTATTTTAGTCAGCCTTTTGACAATATCAGCATATTGGGCCAACCCTCTGAGAGAAAGACCTATAGTGGATCCCAGATCCCATTTCTCAGTGAGGACTCCGAGCTCAAAGTCTTTCATTTTATTTTATTTTGTTGTTTTTCTTTCTTTCTTTCTTTCTTTTTGAGGAAGATTAGCCCTGAGCTAACATCTGTGCCCATCTTCCTCTATTTTATATGTGGGACACCTGCCACAGCACAACTTCACGAGTGGTGCACAGGTCCACACCCGGGATCCGAACCAGCGAACCCCGGGCCACAGAAGCAGAGCATGCAAATTTAACCACTGTGCCACCGGGCCGGCCCCACAAAGTCTTTAGTTTTTAATTCTAATATTTTTGATTTGTAGTTTAAAAAATGCAAAATTTGCTTCAAGGATGGTAATACATTTTCACCAAAGCCTAGTATATAATCAATGTGTACAAGTGTTCCATGAAATCTTGAAAAGGTGTACTCTTTGCTTAATGCTTAACAAATATTTATTGTATGCATGCTATATGCAAGGCATTATTCTAGAAAAACAATGAATGAGATAAGTGAATAAATATTTGTTGACCAGACAAAAAGATATATATCCTGTAGAATGTAAAGTTTGATATTTGTCTTTTAGTTCAGCTTTATAAATTATATTGTACAGTTCTTTTTGTCCTTATTTTTTATCTACTTTGATCTATCACAGATGAAGAGTGGTATGTTAAAAGTTTCCCACTATGTTATTTCTGTTGATTTTCTCTTGTAATTTTATATTAGCTAACTTTGCTTTATTTAATATTGCTTTATATCCACTTCTGATTTTTTAAACTCTATAAAATTCTAATTTGATATTAAGATTGCCATGTATTATCAAACATGGTCTTGGCAGAAAACAGCTCTGTAAATTCCAGATGATTTAAATAAAGACACAACTTTCAGAAATATAAAAGGGAACAAACAAGGTGGTGAAGTTCCCACAGATGAGCAATATTGTGAAAGCTTCACTGTCACTAGATCTGAAGGCAAGGCGACAGAATATTTAGATTTATCTTTGCCACTATTAGACTTTCTTTCTGACATCATGTTTATGCTTTCTACTTTTCATTTTTCTGTGCTGTCTCTTTGTTTTCTTTCTTTCTCTTCGTTATATAGATTTGAAAAACAGTTTAAAATGGTTATTTTAAAGATAAAGTTACTATAGTTAAGATATTTAACACTTTTGCTTCCGTAACTCTTCCCCTCCCTGATGTTTGTAAATTTCATAGGGGTTACAGAGTCTCCTCTCTGAAATCTACATAAATCTCTCCCTGTTAAGAATCACTTTGCCATTACATTCAATTTCATCCACATTTACCCTTTAGCATTATGTACATATTGGGTCTGTTTCAGTGTACTTTGTGAATTTCTCATAATAAAACGTAC